GGGTCTCGAACCCGCGGGCTCAGGCAATCCACTCACCGCAGCCTCCCAAAGGTGCAGGATTACAGGCTGAGCCACCGAGCCCGGCTTGACCTCCTGGTCTTAAGCCATCCTCCTGCCTCAGCCTCCCAAAGTGCTGGGATTACAGGTGTGAGCCACCGCACCCAGCCCCAACTCTTTCTCCTCATTGTCTGTCCAGCACTCTTCCTCTGAAAGGCCAGGCATGCCATTACTTCCATGGGCTGCTCTGGAGGGTGAGAAAGTTTCTCTTGTTTGGGTCAAGTTTCCTCCTTCCCCAGCCCATCACTACCACCCGCCCATGCACACACCCACATTTCCCCAGGTCCTAGCTCTCTCCAACAGAGTCACCCAACACATTATGCTTCCTGTGCCCACCTGAGATTGGACACCAGGACCCCATGCTCCTTTCTGTCCTTCATCTTCTCCCCAAGCCCCTCCCCTGACTGGCTTCCTTCTTCCGGGTAGTGCCGGTGGTAAGGGAGCAGAATGAAACCTGAGTTCCACATGACAGGAGACTGGTCCCTCAGTGGCCCTCTCTGCAGGGCAAAGCGCCCCCTGCAGGGCACAGTGGGCCTGGCTAGGCGGGAGGCCCTGTCTTCCCCAAGCTGGGAACTGGGGACCGGGTTGCACTCTGGGGAGTCTTGACCATCCCTGTCTGGGAGAATCTGGCCCCTACCCCCTGCTCTTCCCTCTGCCTGCTGTGGCCCTTCCCCTAGCAGTGACAATGCAGTGGCCTTCAGAAGGATGCCGACCTCTGAGTCCAGGAAATACGAGGCTACACTTTTCTTCCTGGAAACTCTTGACTTTCCACCGAAATTCTCCATGAGAACTGGCCTTTCACTTTCCAGAAAGTCACATGGCACTGCTTCGGGTCCTCCCAGGCCCACTGTGTCCCTGGAGCCTGCCAAGGGATCTGAATGTTCAGACCAGCGCCTGGGAGCTAAAACCAGTCTCTTCTCGCAGCAGGAGGGGCAGGGGAGAAGCCTGCCTTTGCCCCCAGGATCCCAGGGCAGCTTTTAGACCCTCTCAGAATCACACGGTTCAAAGCCGTCTACACCCACTCACCATTTGGACAGGTGCAAAGGAGTGGTCACCAAGAATTTTCCGGGTCCTCCTGCCATCTGACCCCGGGCCATCAGGCAGGACCCAGCCACCTGGGATAAGGGGACAGGAACGAGGTAGCCCTTCTTGTAGGAGTGTGTGGCATCCTTCTATGGCCACTGCGTGGGGACAAGCAGCAGCCACCGTTATCTGGCATTAACTCAGCATCCCCCTTGAGGGTTTCTCACTTTACAGAAGGAGAGCCGAGAGGGAAGGGGGCTTGCCCAAGGTCCAAGGCAGGGCGGTGATGGAGGGCACTCAAAACCAGGTCTCTGCCCCCAACCTAGTGCCTGCACTCAGCCCCGTCTGCCCCCTCGGCAGTGAGCGAGGTCTTCCTGACCTGCCCCGCCTGCCTCCTTGTCCATCTCGGGGACTCTCTGACCCTCCCTGCTGAGGGAAGTCTTTGGGCGGAGTCTAGGGGTAGGCCAGCGTGAAGACTGTTTCCAGGGAGACAAGCAGTGACTGAACTGGGGTGGTGATGCAGACAGCAGGGAGAGAGTTGAGAGACCTTGACCTTTCGGAAGGAGAAGATGGAAGACCACCTGGCAAGGAGAGAAAGGAACAAAGCTGAGCCTGGGGGGAAAATCACAGCAGCACTGACATGACTGTACCTGCAGGAGTGGCGGCTCACGAATGGGATCCCATCTGACGCTTCTCACACCCCGTGAGGCAGGAACCCTCATGACTTCCATTTTATAAGTGAGGGGGAGTCACATGTCCAGGTCACCTAGCTAGTGTGTGGCAGAGCTAGGCTGGGAACTGGGTGGACAGGCTCCAGCCCCCCATGCCTTCCTCACGTTATCCTGGGGGTGCTGGAATAAGGAGGCAGTGACTGGCAGAAAGTGGTGACATGCATGGGTAGATGGGGCATAGCCCCGAGTCTGAGGTGTCAGGGTAGCTGAATAGGTCGTCTTGTCATTCAGTTAGATGTCTGAGCCTGAGTGGAGGTCAGGGCTGAGGCTAGGGTTTGTTTAAGAGGACTGTGAACAGAATGAGATTAATGGTCAAAGAGTGAGAGAAAGTTCTAGAAACAACTTTGAAAACTCCTGCTGTGAAGCAGTAGGGCGAAGAGGAGCCAGCAAAAGATTCAGAAGGAGGCCAGCCAGCCGCTGTGGCTTACGCCATAATCTCAGACTTTGGGAGGCCAGAGCAAGAGGATCAGTTGAGCCCAGGAATTCGAGACCAGCCTGGGCAACATAGTGAGACCTCATCTCTAGAAAAAATAAAAATATTAGACAGGTATAGTGGTGCATGCCTATAGTCCAGCTACTGGGGAGGCTGAGGTGGAAGGACCTTCTGAGCCCAAGAGGTCAAGGCTGTGGTGAGCCATTGTCATGCACTGCACTCCAACCTGGGTGACAGAGTGAGACCCCAACTCAAATACATATATTCAGAAGGAAGAGTGTCAGGAGACCATAGGATGGGGCCAGAGGGGATCCTGGCCCTGGCAGGATGGTAGGGATGGTCTGGTCTCCAGGAGGTCAGGACGGGGGTCCACAGGTACCTGTTAGGGCCACCTGCTTCTGCTTCACAAGCCTGGTTCCCTGGAGGGGAGAAGGATGCCAGTCTCTTGGGACTTGGAGGTGCTCAGAATGGACAAGTCTGGGACGGGGCTTTGTAAACTGTAAGGGCCTTCAGGGATGCGAGGGTCAGCGCAGGAAGGCAGAAGGCAGGGCTTGTATCCTGATGGCTGACATCTTCTCCCTCCTGTGGCCTTTCCAGGGCAGCTGTGGCAGTTGCTGGACTTTCTCCACCACGGGGGCCCTGGAGTCTGCAGTTGCCATCGCAAGTGGGAAGATGCTGTCCTTGGTAAGAAGTCAGCTGCGGGCCACCTGCCGCGGGGCCGCCCCAGACCCCACAGGAAGGACCCGGCCTGGCCTTCAGCCTCCTGCGGGGCGTTAAGCTGCCCAGGATGCTGTTTCGGGTAGGCATCGTGTGTCCCAGCCTTTTGGACGCTGGGCAGGAGAATCTGTCTCCACAGATGCTTTTCCCAGAAAGGACTGAAGTTCACTGAGGCAGCGGCCTGAGGGCTCATTCCTGGGAGGGACTGGGTGTTCCTCAGTTTGACAACCAGGGGCCTTCACAGGGAGGGACTCAGAAAGGCACAGCCTCGTGTGGGCAGCCCTCCAAAAGCTGTGTCCCTTCCCAGTAGCCTCAGGTGTCTTCGTGGAGGGGAGAGCTGGGGCCTGTGCGTCCATCCCTGACCCCCAAGAGGCATGCTTGTTTCTGCAGGAAATGTCCCAGCCACAGCCTCTGTGTGGAGAAGAGGGAGAAGGCAGGGTGGGGCTGTCGAGGCCATGAGGTCCCCCAGGTGGAGGAAAAGTGGGGCAGGGGCTCTGGCTGGGCCTGTCCCCTCGCCATCGCATACGCCACCATGTGACCCCATAATGCACACTGCACATGCATACCCACTGGGCAGGTGTGGGACATGGAAACATCCCCTGCCCTCTCACCTGCCTCAGTGGTCAGATGGTCCCTGAACCCCTCTGGACATGTGCCAGCTGCTGACACTTAAGAACACACAGAGACCGTCTCTGCCCTTGGGGAGTGTATCCCCTGGTCATCTTGCCACCACTAACGGGGCCCCAAGTGTGGCTCAGCCAGGGAGGCTCCCGCCTCGTGCCAAAGCCTCCACCTGCCTCCTGCCTCAGTTCACCTGGTCTGTGTCCTCCCTCTAGGCAGAACAGCAGCTGGTGGACTGTGCCAAGGACTTCAATAACCACGGCTGCCAAGGGTATGGCCCTTCCTGGCGGGGGCGTGGGGAGGGTGCTGAAACACCTTTCCATTTCCCACTGACAGTCCGCATGGGACCCGGTATATACTGGCACTGCCACAGACACAACCCACTGCCCTGGAAAGTGGTCTCCCTCTTACGGAGGGGGATCACCTCATGTGACCATGTCTCATGGCCAGGACAGGGAAGAGCTAGAACTGCGCCCTTTCTGGTTCCAGCCTTTGTCCTCTCTCTACTGTGTTGCTTGGCTGTCACTCCATAGCACCATCAGCCTTATTTGCCACCAGGGCTGAGGGACGCGGGGCCATAAGAATTAATAATGTGAGCCGGGCTCAGTGGCTCAGCCTGTAATTCCATGCCTTGGGAGGCCAAGGTGAGTGGATTGCCTGAGCCCACGGGCTTGAGACCTGCCTGGGCAACTTGGTGAGACCTCATCTCTACAATAGATCAAAAAATTAGCCGGGTGTGGTAGCGCGTGCCTGTAGTTCCAGCTACTTGGAAGGCTGAGGCTTCCCTGGGTCCTGGGTCCTGACTATGCCCTGGGTCCTGAGGACTGGGCCACAGCAGGGCTCTCTGCATGGAGGAGTCAAGCCCAGGAGGGGGGAGTATGAGAGGCAGGGGTCAAGGCTGGGATCCCTGAAGGCCTGGCTTTCTGCACATTCTGTGCCACGAGACACACACAGCCCCACAGAAACCTCTTGGAGCAGCACGTGTGGAGAAAGGGGTGCGGGCTGGAGTCGCTAGACACAAGAGCAAACTCCCAGTCACTTGCTAGAAGAGTGGGCCAAGTTGAAGGTCCCAGAGGGGTGCTAACCTTGTACAGGGACACCTGACCACACTCAAGGAACATTCCCACATAGGCCGGCAACTGGGATGGCCAGGATTCTAGAGACCTCGTCTCCTGGCCAACCATGGTCCGTGTGTGGCTCTCAGGTCTGGAAAGTGATGGGTAATGGGGTGTCTGTCACACTATTCTTTTTTTTTTAATACCTCCCCCCTCCCTTCCCTTCCACATTATTCTTTTTTTTTTTTTTTTGAGTTGGAGTCTCACTCTGTCGCCCAGACTGGAGTGCAGTGGCTGGTCCTGGCCACTGCAATCTCGACCTGCTGGGCTCCGGCGATCCTTCGGCCTCACCCTCCTAAAATACTGGGACTACCAGCGTGTGCCACCCCATCCAGCTATTTTTTTGATTATCTGTAGAGACAAGGTCTCACTATATTGCCCAGGCTGGAAGAATTTTTTTTTCACTGATGCAACAAATGTCACAGAGCACCTGCTGTGTGTGTAGGCCCCAGGGACACAGCACTCGATGGAACTCAAAGAGAATGACCTTCCGCCTGGGTCAGACAGAGCCCGACACGTGTAGAATTGATAGTGCCGGGTGCTGGCAGAAGAAAAAAATGAAGCAGGGGCGGGGGGCGGCTTGCTGGTTGACTACTGGATATTTATTTACTCTGGGAGGCAGAGTCAAGTAGAAAAAGACCCACCTTTGGAGCCTGTGTGACCCTGGGCACATTGTGCAGCCTCTTTGCCACAGGAGATAACAGCATTCTCCACACGGGATTGACACGAGGGGTCAGGCGGTCGTGTCTGGGGAGCACCTGCCCAGGTGGGGGCACAGTGGGCACAGCAGTGGCAGTGACAGGTCTCCAAGCTGATGCCATCCTGAGGGCCTGCACACTCCTCCCGACAGGGGACCTGGCATCGAGGGGGACCTGAGGCATGTGTGACTGGTCCTTGGACTCTGGGCACCTTGCCTGAGCCAGGGAAATGGGGCCACATTGCTGGCCTCTCAGAGAACCCCCCTGCCCCCGGGATGTGACCAACCAAGACACCAACCGGCCAGCTCCAGCCCCTGCGACTCCACCCCCGTTGGGACAGTCCCAGCGGCTCACCTGTGTGTGCTTCTCATAGGGGCCTCCCCAGCCAGGCCTTCGAGTACATCCTGTACAACAAGGGCATCATGGGTGAAGACACCTACCCCTATAGGGGCAAGGTAATCCCGGTGTGCAGTGCGCCCCCTCCACGCCGCCCCTGCCTCAGAAAACATCCCTCTCTCCCCTCCTGCCCCAGCTCCTCCTGTGGGATCCTCAGCACTGCTCCTCAAGAGTCCTCCTTCCCTCCTCTGCCTGCCTGAACCTCCCTCTCCTCAGGACCCCACCCCACCTGCCCTGTGCCTTCCTGCCTCCTCTCCTGCCTGTGGCCAGTGCCCTCGAGCGCCACCCTCTGGCCTCTCCCCTCCATCTGTGCAGTCGGCCTCTCGTACTGAGATGCTCTTCTGTGCCCGACTTGCTGAATGTGCCAAGGGTCTCCCACCATCACCACAGCCCCACGGGGCCACACCACACACCTCATCTTCCCCCACGCCTGTATGTCTCCTCTTACTGATGAAGGCATCGGTCCCCCATAACTCACTGGCACCCGTGTTCCTGTTAAGGGCTGGACCATCCGAGGCCGTCTCACGCAGGAGCTTTTGGTCCATCCTGTGTGCCACCCACACTTTGACCTCCCTTCACCCAGGTCACTGAGGGTGACCTCCCTTGAGCCTCCCAGACCCATCCCTGACTGCACACCTGCCTGTGCAGAGACAGCAGAGGCTCCACAGGGCCTTCAAGAGAAAGCCCAGACTCTCGGTCAAAACCCTTCTTTCCCGTCCCATCTCCCCATCATAGACCTTAGTCCAAGCCCAGCCGAGTGCTGGTTCCTAGGCCCCAAGCCCTGCTCCTCCCTCCAGTCCTGTCCCTCGTCATCCTGTCTCGGAAGAGCTTGTGCTTCCCTCCTGGTGACCTTACCTCTGCCTGCCTCTTTGTCAGCACAGCACTGTTCCCTGGACTGGGACTGTCCCCTTCTCTTCCCCTGTCACAAGCTCCTACTCAAGCTCTACTCTCAGCAAGTTTCCCTGGGCTGGGTCAGCCCCTCCCCAGGCTCCCACCACACTCCGTGCATGCCTGCCTGCCTCTGCCAAAGCCAATGCAGGACTGGCTCCTGCCACCAGACCCTGGTTTCTTGAAGACCAGGGTGCCTCTAATTCTCTGAAGTGACCCCCATCACTCAGGCCCTGACACGTGTAATTTTTGCTTAGTAAATGCTATCAAACTGGGGGGGGGACTGAAGGCTCAGGCCCCATGCCCCTGATGTGTATTCCATGACCATGGTGCCCTCAACAGGATGGTGACTGCAAGTTCCAACCCAAAAAGGCCATTGCGTTCGTCAAGGATGTGGCCAACATCACCATGGTGAGTACTGGCTGCCTCTCCCGGGTGGGGAATATGCTCTGGTCAGGAGGCCCCTCTCCACGCTGTCAGGACAACCTTCCTGGCATCACTTCCCTTTAAAGAGTTTGGATTATCATTGAGTCTCCATCACCATAAGGGTAGTGGGGGAGTGGCGGGGAGATGAGGCATACAGATCAGTGGGCAGGCGCTAGACTTCAGGTCTGTGCACATCTTCATCCTTGTGGCTCTGTTTTCTTGCCTGTAACATGCAAGCAGTTGTTCCCTCCTGCAGAAGAGGGTGTGAGCTCGAGTATGATGCAGCACGTGTGTGTGAGACCAAGGAGGAGGGTGAGGATATGCCAGGTTCTGCTGCAGTAACAACCACACACAGATCTGCAGGCCCTCCAGCAGTCAGTGTGTGCCTGGCACTCCTGCACCTGTCCACGGCTTCATCAGGGCAGTAGTGCTCACTCCAGGACCCAGGCAGAGGGAAAGAGCATGGTCAGTTATGTGCTGGCTCTAACGCCACAAGTCACACCTAACCTCAAGTGGACAGGGAAGCAGAGTCACACCCTAGTTTTCTCAGAAAGATCTAGAATGTGCATGAACAGCCCTCATGATTCCAGTGTGCATGTGTGCGAGGCTGTGAGGAATGGAAGAATAGCCCATGGAGTGTGCCAATGTGCGTGGGCCCACAAGTATAGGTAATTCATAGATCTTACATCACAGACGTTATGTCTATGTAAGTAGCTAAGTAGCTGTCTGTGAAGTAGCTACCTTTAACAGAGGCCTGTGCTATGCTCTCAACAGCAATAGCCATTACCTTTCTGGAGTAGGTGCTGCCCCAGCCACTTAGCATAAATTATCTCCCTCAGACCCGGAGAACCCTGGGAGATGGGTGTCATTATTACTTTCATTTTATAGATGAGGAAACAGGCTCAGGATGGTTAAGTAACATGCCCAAGGCCACAGAGCTAAGAAGTAGATGCTGGATTTGAACTGAGAACATGTCATTTCAGAACCAGGGCTCATTGTCTGGACACCATACAGCCTGCACCCTGTCATAGCGATGTCACCCTCTTTAGGAGACAGCTGGTGTCTCTCAACTCGCCAAGGCTGACCACTCTTAGCCATGAGATCCCACTGAGAGTTGAACCAGGCTTTTGTCGGTGACACCTGCAGGGCCCTGAAGAGCAGGCCAGAGCTGGCATTCAGCCTTCTCAGCAGGGTGGAAATGGTGTCGCCTGCAGTTCTCACCCCTGCAGAGGGCAGGCCTCCGTGCCTTCCTGTCTTAGGCCTGCCTGGACCTGTCGGGCTCACAGTCCTCTTCCAAGTACCCAGAAGGAAGGTGGTCACTTCCAAACAGATATTTGCTGAGTCTGGGTCTCTGCCTCCTCCGTCCGGGGGCAGGGCTAAGAGAGGGCTGGGTGCCCAACCCCTCCTGAAGTCACTTCCGTTCAGTGGGGCCTTGGCCTCAGCACACAGCCTCCACCCTCAATGTCACCACCTAGATGTCCCTTTTTGTTGACTAGGGACCTTTTGTTGTTTTGTTTAAGAATCAAGGGTATCTGTCTCCCAGGCTGGAGTGCAGTGGTGCAATCACAGCTCACTGCAGCCTCAAACTCCTGGGCTCAAGCAATCTTCCTGCATCAGCCTCCTGAGTAGCTGGGACTACAGGCGCCTGCCACCATGCCTGTCTAAATTTATTGTCCTAATTTTTTGGTAGAAATGAGGTTTCTGTTGCCCAGGCTGTGGGATCTTGAACTCTTGGGTTCAAGTGATCCTCCCACCTCAGACTCCCAGAGTGCTGGGATTACGGGCATGAGCCGCTGCACCTGTCCAGAGTACCAGATGGCCAGAGATCTCTTCATTAGGGAACTTCTACCAGTCCTTCCAATTGGGAAGCTTTAAAAAAAGTCCTGGTGCCGCAGCACGTCCCACAGATGGTGGTGTAGTTAGGCTGGGGTGCAGCCTGGGCTGGGGGACTTTTAAGGCTCCCTGGGGCTCTACCTGCTGCTTTCCCCTAATCTCTACAGCTCCATTCCAAAGCTGCGGCCTCCAGGAAGCTGCCCTGACTTCCCCTCCTCCAAAGGGGGCAGGTCCTGCTCAGAGGACACAGTCCTTTGCTGCGCCTTCTGTTTCCACCACCATCTCAGCCTTTTCCATTCATGGACTTTAAAGCCCTTGTGTTCTACCAGCAAAGCTCGGTAGACTGGCTTTAAGGCTGCAGGGAGCCCTGGGGCAGGAGTGGGGATGTCATGTCCATCTCTGCACCCTTGGGGGTCGGCCCAGGAGAGGACCTCAGTGAATGGTTGAATGATGGGTGCATGTTGTTCCCCGTGGTCCTCATCCCAGCGAGTGCAGTTTTCCTAGGAGCAGAGCAGGGGAGGGGGCCGAGATGACCAAATAGACTGGCCAGTGAAAAGAGGGGAGAGAGGTTATGGGGAGCCAGTTACCTGTACGTAAAATCAAGAACCTCAAGGATCTGGGCCTCGGGCACAAGGGGTGGGGCCTCCACACCAGCGCCAGGTTCTGCTGTGGGAGGGGCAGCCACCCCTTGGGGCTGCCTTTCAGCCTCTGGGCCTCTAGCTTCTACCCTGGGACAAAAGGCTGTACTTCGAAGGTGTGTGGGGAGGCGACAGAGGCTGTGTGTAATCCATTTCTTAGTCCTTCTGTCTGTCCACAGAATGACGAGGAGGCCATGGTAGAGGCCGTGGCCCTGTACAACCCTGTGAGCTTTGCCTTTGAGGTGACAGATGACTTCATGATGTATAAAAGGGGCGTCTATTCCAGGTAAGCCGAGGTCCCAGGAGTCAGAAGGGACAGCGGGAAGAGGCTGAGTGGGGTCCTGTCACCCTGCACGTGGGACTCGGGCTTGGCCGAGCTTCGGACTCAGGGTCAGGCTGTCAGTGACACCTACTGTGTGCTGGCGTTTTACACGTCTTCACACAGCCCATAGGTCAGGAACCTGGGTCCATCCCAGAGAAGGGGAAAGAGAATGTCAGAAGGAATATGATAGACCCAGGCTGGCCAGGGACAGGGCCAGCATATGAGACCTCTGTCCTCCACAGAAGAAAGCCCATGCTCAAAAATTGTAAGATACAAATTAGGGAAGAGACAGCAGCCACTCTACACACAGACTCCTGGAGGACTCACTACAGGGCTCATCAGAAAAACCAGGCTTCTAGCCTCTCTCTCTCTCTTTCTCTCTCTCTCTCTCTCTCTCTCTCTCTATCTGTCTCTATCTCTATCTCTCTCTTTTTTTTTTTTTTGGAGTTGGAGTCTCACTCTGTCACCCAGGCTGGAGTGCAGTGGCCTGCTCATGGCTCCCCACAACCTCAACTTCCTGGGCTCAGGTGATCCTCTGCCTTGGCCTCCTGAGTAGCTGGGACTATAGGCATGCGCCACCATGCCCGGCTAATTTTTTTATTTTTCGTAGAGACAAAGTCTCCCTGTGTTGCCCAGGCTGGTGTCAAGCTCCTGGGCTCAAGCAATCCTCCCACCTCAGCCTCCCAAAGTGCTTGGATTACAGGTGTGAGCCACCGTGCCTGGCCCTGTCCTAGTCTCTGTAATGGGTTTCCTCCAAGCTGGGCCTGGTGGCTCACACCTGTAATCCCAGCATTTTGGGAGGTGGAGGCAAAAAGATTGCCTGAGCTCAGGGGTTCGAGACCAGCCCGGGCAACTTAGTGAGACCTTGTCTCTACAATAAACAAAAAATTAGCCAGGCATAGTGGCACATGCCTATAGTTCTAGCTACTTGGAAGGCTGAAGCAGAAGGATCACCTGAGCCCAGCAGATCAAGGCTGTGGTGGCCGTGAATGTGCCACTGCACTCTAGTCTGGGCAACAGAGTGAGAATCCAACTCAAAAAAAAAAAAGGTAGTTCCTCCCCTGCATCTCCTTTGGCCTGTGTGTTGTGGTGTGAACTCAGCTGGGCACCTCCCCATCCTCTCCCCATGTGCTCCAGAGCCTCCTTCATGGTCTCCACCTTATGTTGCTGCCTCTAATGTTGCCACTCCCCAGGCCTCATCCTCAGTCCTCTTCCGGTTCCTAGACACTCCTAAACCCCATGGCCGACTGTTAGCCAAGGATGTCCAAGGCCAGCCTGGGCTCTGGACATCAGGCCCAGGTGTAGATCCCAGTGCCTCCCTGCTGCCTCCACCAGAACGGCCCCTGGAAACGTCAGGTCCTGCGTGCCTCCTCCAGCCCTGCCCCTCCCTTTCCCAGCTAACAGGCTCACCATCCCGCGGCTGCGCGAGGGCGAGACCATCGCCCAGCAGAAACCTCTCTCCCTTCTGTCTTCTTTCCCTCCTGGAGTTTCTGCCCCAGCCTCCACGGCCCTCTCCAGCTGCCTCCCTGGCCCTCTCCAGCTGCCTCCCTACGAGTTTGTCCTAGAAGCCTCCTTGCCCCCCCACTGGTCTGTGCTCCACAGGAAGCCAGTCAGTCTTCTCAAACACTCCACTGAAGTGCAATGGCATGATCACGGCTCACTGTAGCCTTGACCTCCTAAGCTCAGGTGATCCTTCTGCCTCAGCTTCCCAAGTAGCTGGGACTACAGGCACATGTCACCACAACTAGCTAAGTTTTTTATTTTTTGTGAAGATGAGGTCTCTGTTGCCCAGACTGGTCTCGAACTCCTGGGATCGAGTGATCCTCTTGCCTCTGCCTCCCAAAGTGTTGGGATTACAGGCATGAGCCACCACACCTGGCCTTGACACCAACCTTTAAACACACCAGTGACCCCCTCTGCCCAGTGTCTTAGCCTGGTTGGGGACCCTCATGACCTGGTCCTCCCTCTGTCTCCACGCTCATCTGGCATCAAGCCCTCCTTCCCATCTCCACCTGTTCCACCCTTCAGTGCAATGGCAGTCGCACAGAAGTTTCTAGGCATTCTCTGCCCCCTCAGGGAGGCTTCCCTGACTCACCCTGTTCCCGCCGAGCTGATCTCTCCTCCTCAGGGTCCCTGCCAGCCTGTCCACTGTCACAGCCCCCAGTTCACTATATAGAAACAGCCTCTTGGTCAGCCTGCTACCTGCCACAGCTGTGCCTGCTGCTCAAATCCTGACATCTGTCCCATGACCCAGTTACTCAACTGAATTCCTAACTGACCACTGCATCTTGTCCTCTAGAATCTTTTGGAATTTCCTCCTGGAAGCTAGTTCACTATCATAAATGGAAAAACCTGTATTTTTATCATAAGTTTAAATTAATCTTTAAAATAAATGCAGTGGCAGCAAGGCGTGGTGGCTCATGGCTGTAATTCCAGTTTTTGGGAGGCAGAGGCAAGGGGATTGCCTGAGTCTAGGAATTCGAGACCAGCCTGGGCAAATTGGTGAGACCTTGTCTCTATAATAAATTTAAAAGTTAGCCTGGTGTGGTGGTAAGCACCTGTAGTTCCAGCTACTTGGAAGGCTGAGGTGGAAGGATCACGTGAGCCCAGCTGGTTGAGGCTGCAGTGGCCACGAGCGTGCTGGTGCACTCCAGCCTGGGTGACAGAGTGACACTCCATCTGACTCAAAAAAAAAAAAAATGCTGTGACACAAAGCAACACTGTGGGAAATTCTAGCTGGGTGCTGTTGCCTGCAGAAGGTGCCTCAGGAAAGCTGCTCTCTCCTTGCTGGGAAAGAGGGATTAGAAAGTGTCAAATGTGGCTGGGCGCAGGGGCTCACACCTGTAATCCCGGTACTCTGAGAGCTGAGGCAGAAGCCTCCCTTGAGACCAGGAGTTCAAGACCAACCTGGGCAACATAGCAAGACTGCTATCTCTACAAAAACTTAACCAAGTGTGGTGGTGTGCACCTGTAGTCTCAGCTCCTGGAGAGGCTGAGGCAGATGGATGACTTGAGCTCAGAAGCTTGAGGCTGCGGATGCAGTGAGCTATGATTGCGGCACCACTGCACTCCAGCCTGGGCTACAGAGTGAGACCCAATTCTGAAAACAAACCCCGCCCAAAAAATGTTAAGTGTCAGGTGTGAAGACGGGCAGCACCGCAGAGTCTCTCTCCTTTCAAGAGCAGAGGAACCAAAAGAACGGAAGAGAGTCACTCTCCACATTCACTCCCCACCTTGCGTGCCCCTTCCCTCGGGAAACGTTGCTCCAGAGCCTGGAGAGCTGGTTATGGGTGTGACTGAGTCGTCCCTTTTATCTTTCCACACCATCAACTCTTTATATTTCATTTTCCAGCACTTCCTGTCATAAAACTCCAGATAAAGTCAACCACGCAGTGCTGGCTGTGGGATACGGAGAAGAAAACGGGACACCCTGCTGGATCGTGAAGAACTCGTGGGGTCCCCAGTGGGGAATGAAGGGGTAAGCAACTCCCACTCCCACTGCCAGGAGGGGCATGTGGCTGGTCTGGAGGCCACCCATGGGGCGTCTCCTCTTCCTTCAAGTTATGGCCTCCAAGAACAAGCTGGCCAACCAAGCCCTAGCCCAGGTCGGGGGGATGGGAGGTGTGGGAATGTGACCTCCACACCCCAGGACCCTTCTACATGGACCCCAGGTCTCAACAAGTCCATGTAGGACGCAGGAGTCGAGTTGGCTCAGAAGGGTCTGTCACCACTGGTAGGAAGACAGTCCAGAACTTAGAACCCTGCTAGGTTAAGCTGATGTCTGGGAGGGTCTGTCTTCTTTTTAGTTTTATTGGAGTTGAGTCTCATTCTGTGCCCAGGCTAGACTGCAGTGGTATGACCACGGCTGGGCTCACGTGATCCTTCCTCTTCCGAATAGCTGCTTATTGAATGTTTATTGGTACTTCCATCCAAGTAGCTGAAACTAAAGGCGTGCACCACTACACCCGGCTAATTTTTGGATTCATTGTAGAGATGAAGTCTTGCCATGTTGCTCAGGCTGGTCTCAAACCCCTGCGCTCAGGCAATTGTCTTGCCTCTGCCTCCCAAAAGTGTTGGGATTATAGGTGTAAGCCATCACGTCCAGTTGGGAGGATCTATCTTAGAGAAATCAAGGCAACACATGTATCCCTGGTCACTGATGGCCCCTCCTTCAAGGAAAAAGGCTGGAATCGGGAGGCCTGGGCACATGTGTTGGTGTAACTTTGTCCGTGTCTCTCTTCTCCAGGTCCTCATTCAAAAAGGAAGGAGAGCTTTGATTGGTTACCTCAGGGGGGTCCTAGTGGTGATTAAGTAGCCACAGGAGGGCCTAGTCAGGGCTAAGAGAGTCTCCATAAATTCTCAGGAATAGGCCGGGCACAGTGGCTCATGCCTGTAATCCCAGCACTTTGGGAGGCCCAGGCAGGGGGATTGCTTGAGCCCAGGAGTTCAAGACCAGCCTGGGCAAGACCTTGCCTCTACAAAAAAAAAAAAAATTAAAAAATTAGCCAGTTGTGGTTAACTTTTTAACCACAAAAATGCTCCTGTCATCCCAGCTCCTGTCATCCCATCCTGTCGGGAGGCTGAGGTGGAAGGATCGCCTGAGCCCAGATCGAGGCTGTGGTAAACCGTGATCATGCCACTGCACTCCAACCTGGGTGACAGAGACCCTGACTCAAAAAAAAAAAAAAAAAATTCTCAGGACAAGTGGGATATGGATAGAATGTGAAAGAGAGCTCACTTGGTCACTTAAGAGAGGGAAGAACAAATTATTCACAAAGTCAGGTCAGTAATTTCCTGGTGATAAAATAAGCGCAGTGCCACTGTTTGGTGAATACATTCAGAGGGCCTGATCCCTGGAGTCGGGTCTTGGTGAGCGGCAGAACGTTCCGGAAAGGTCTGTGGTGGAAGCCACAGCCGGGCCTCAATCCTCTCTCTCCCAGGTACTTCCTCATCGAGCGCGGGAAGAACATGTGTGGCCTGGCCGCCTGCGCCTCCTACCCCATCCCGCTAGTGTGAGCGCGGCGGTAGGACTGGTTGGCAGAGAAGGAGAACAGGCAGCCCAGGCCACTCGCTGGAAATCCTGCCCTGGAGGAAGTTGTCCTGGGGAACCCACCAGGGCCCTCCACTTTCTCCCTCACCCCACGCCGAGCCTGGAAACCCAAAGAAGAGGAAGAAGAGCCCCACCACGCAACACGCTCACCCACATCTGTTGACGTGAAGAGGATTAATCACCAGCCATGTGCCTTAGGGTGGTTTTGAATAGACTCAAACCCACGTGGACTGAGAATATTCCTTCTTTCCAGAGGGGCTACTTGCCATATTTGGAGAGAGCTCCAGTGCCTGCCTTCTGTGTCCTTTGTTCAATAAACATTCAGTGAGCACCTCCCTGGGCCAGGCCTTGTTGGGTGCTGGCCCAGTCCAGACATGATTCAGACTCTATCTGCCTTCAGGCTTGTTGTCCAGCGGGGAGGCATGGAGGGGTCCCCAGGCTCTGGTGGGGAGAATGGCTGGGGTGCTGATGGCACCATCCACCAGATGGGGTCCCCAGTTTAATTTGAGATCTTGCCGGGCGCAGTGGCTTATGCCTGTAATCCCAGCACTTTGGGAGGTGGAGGCAAAAGGATTACCTGAGTCCAGGGGTTCGAGACCAGCCTGG